AAGCGAGATTTTTGGGAATTCTTTTAAAATATGGGCGGAAGGTAGACCACATCGCTCTAAAATATTGCTCTGCCTCCTCACCGTTGTACAGCTTTCTTTCGCAATGTCACTCTCGCACTCACGCCTACATTTTGGAGTGAAAAATCGAATCCACCCAGAGCAAAAGCTCCCAAAAGCGAGATTTTCGGGAATTCTCTCAAAATATGGGGGCGGAAGGTAGACCACATCGCTCTAAAATATTGCTCTGCCTCCTCACCGTTGTACAGCTTTCTTTCGCAATGTCACTCTCGCACTCACGCCTACATTCTGGAGTGAAAAATCGAATCCACCCAGAGCAAAAGCTCCCAAAAGCGAGATTTTCGGGAATTCTCTCAAAATATGGGGGCGGAAGGTAGACCACATCGCTCTAAAATATTGCTCTGCCTCCTCACCGTTGTACAGCTTTCTTTCGCAATGTCACTCTCGCACTCACGCCTACATTCTGGAGTGAAAAATCGAATCCACCCAGAGCAAAAGCTCCCAAAAGCGAGATTTTCGGGAATTCTCTCAAAATATGGGGGCGGAAGGTAGACCACATCGCTCTAAAATATTGCTCTGCCTCCTCACCGTTGTACAGCTTTCTTTCGCAATGTCACTCTCGCACTCACGCCTACATTCTGGAGTGAAAAATCGAATCCACCCAGAGCAAAATCTCCCAAAAGCGAGATTTTCGGGAATTCTCTCAAAATATGGGCGGAAGATAGACCACATCGCTCTAAAATGTTGTTTTCCCTTTCACCGTTGTACAACCTTCTTTCGCAATGTCACTCTCGCACTCACGCCTACATTCTGGAGTGAAAAATCGAATCCACCCAGAGCAAAAGCTCCCAAAATCGAGTTTGGGAATATTCTCAAAATATGGGCGGAAGGTAGACCACATCGCTCTAAAATATTGTTTTGCCCCTCACCGTTGTACAACTTTCTTTCGCAATGTCACTCTTGCACTCACGTCTACATTCTGGGGTGAAAAATCGAATCCACCCAGAGCAAAAGCTCCCAAAAGCGAGATTTTTGGGAATTCTTTTAAAATATGGGCGGAAGGTAGACCACATCGCTCTAAAATATTGCTCTGCCTCCTCACCGTTGTACAGCTTTCTTTCGCAATGTCACTCTCGCACTCACGCCTACATTTTGGAGTGAAAAATCGAATCCACCCAGAGCAAAAGCTCCCAAAAGCGAGATTTTCGGGAATTCTCTCAAAATATGGGGGCGGAAGGTAGACCACATCGCTCTAAAATATTGCTCTGCCTCCTCACCGTTGTACAGCTTTCTTTCGCAATGTCACTCTCGCACTCACGCCTACATTCTGGAGTGAAAAATCGAATCCACCCAGAGCAAAAGCTCCCAAAAGCGAGATTTTCGGGAATTCTCTCAAAATATGGGGGCGGAAGGTAGACCACATCGCTCTAAAATATTGCTCTGCCTCCTCACCGTTGTACAGCTTTCTTTCGCAATGTCACTCTCGCACTCACGCCTACATTCTGGAGTGAAAAATCGAATCCACCCAGAGCAAAAGCTCCCAAAATCGAGTTTGGGAATACTCTCAAAATATGGGCGGAAGGTAGACCACATCGCTCTAAAATATTGTTTTGCCCCCTCACCGTTGTACAACCTTCTTTCGCAATGTCACTCTCGCACTCACGTCTACATTCTGGGGTGAAAAATCGAATCCACCCAGAGCAAAGCTCCCAAAATCGAGTTTGGGAATGCTCTCAAAATATGGGCGGAAGGTAGACCACATCGCTCTAAAATATTGTTTTGCCCCTCACCGTTGTACAACTTTCTTTCGCAATGTCACTCTCGCACTCACGTCTACATTCTGGGGTGAAAAATCGAATCCACCCAGAGCAAAAGCTCCCAAAAGCGAGGTTTTTGGGAATTCTTTCAAAATATGGGCGGAAGGTAGACCACATCGCTCTAAAATATTGCTCTGCCTCCTCACCGTTGTACAGCTTTCTTTCGCAATGTCACTCTCGCACTCACGCCTACATTCTGGAGTGAAAAATCGAATCCACCCAGAGCAAAAGCTCCCAAAAGCGAGATTTTCGGGAATTCTCTCAAAATATGGGGGCGGAAGGTAGACCACATCGCTCTAAAATATTGCTCTGCCTCCTCACCGTTGTACAGCTTTCTTTCGCAATGTCACTCTCGCACTCACGCCTACATTCTGAAGTGAAAAATCGAATCCACCCAGAGCAAAAGCTCCCAAAATCGAGTTTGGGCTTAGGCTTAGGCTTAGGCTTAGGCTCAGGCTTAGGCTTAGGCTTAGGCTTAGGCTTAGGCTTAGGCTTAGGCTTAGGCTTAGGCTTAGGCTTAGGCTTAGGCTTAGGCTTAGGCTTAGGCTTAGGCTTAGGCTTAGGCTTAGGCTTAGGCTTAGGCTTAGGCTTAGGCTTAGGCTTAGGCTTAGGCTTAGGCTTAGGCTTAGGCTTAGGCTTAGGCTTAGGCTTAGGCTTAGGCTTAGGCTTAGGCTTAGGCTTAGGCTTAGGCTTAGGCTTAGGCTTAGGCTTAGGCTTAGGCTTAGGCTTAGGCTTAGGCTTAGGCTTAGGCTTAGGCTTAGGCTTAGGCTTAGGCTTAGGCTTAGGCTTAGGCTTAGGCTTAGGCTTAGGCTTAGGCTTAGGCTTAGGCTTAGGCTTAGGCTCAGGCTTAGGCTTAGGCTTAGGCTTAGGCTTAGGCTTAGGCTTAGGCTTAGGCTTAGGCTTAGGCTTAGGCTTAGGCTTAGGCTTAGGCTTAGGCTTAGGCTTAGGCTTAGGCTTAGGCTTAGGCTTAGGCTTAGGCTTAGGCTTAGGCTTAGGCTTAGGCTTAGGCTTAGGCTTAGGCTTAGGCTTAGGCTTAGGCTTAGGCTTAGGCTTAGGCTTAGGCTTAGGCTTAGGCTTAGGCTTAGGCTTAGGCTTAGGCTTAGGCTTAGGCTTAGGCTTAGGCTTAGGCTTAGGCTTAGGCTTAGGCTTAGGCTTAGGCTTAGGCTTAGGCTTAGGCTTAGGCTTAGGCTTAGGCTTAGGCTTAGGCTTAGGCTTAGGCTTAGGCTTAGGCTTAGGCTTAGGCTTAGGCTTAGGCTTAGGCTTAGGCTTAGGCTTAGGCTTAGGCTTAGGCTTAGGCTTAGGCTTAGGCTTAGGCTTAGGCTTAGGCTTAGGCTTAGGCTTAGGCTTAGGCTTAGGCTTAGGCTTAGGCTTAGGCTTAGGCTTAGGCTTAGGCTTAGGCTTAGGCTTAGGCTTAGGCTTAGGCTTAGGAGCATTTGGTCAGGCTCTAGTAAAATTTTGCAGAAGAGAACTGGACGACGAATCAATTTATTCCAAAAAAAAAACCCGAAAAGGTTGACGTGATGTTATGAGAGTTCTCTTTTATTATTACGATAATTTTCTAAGCTGATCTACTCAGTTATAGTTTTTTGGTAGTTTCTACAATGATTTTGTTTTCATATATGCCGAGTCACCTGGGAAATCTATCTTTTCTTGAGATTTTCTCGAACCTTTTCACAATAACATGATAAAACTTACTGTGGTATCAACGCCGTAATACTCGGTGCTCGAGGAGGAAAACAAAAGCACCATTATCAGCTGCCATTTTTGTCCATTCGAGCGTTGCTATAATAAAAATATTATCAGAAGTACAATACCGCTTGTAATTTGTGAAAAATCAATGCCGGAGTTCACCGGATTTTGCGTTGCACTGCCATATCTTGCCTCAGATCGAAACAATTTTGAATTCAAAAGCACCGTTCAACTCAGCTCGACGAGATCATTTTCTGATGTGCAGAAGCGCCTGTTTTGGCACGATAGTCGGTCAAATTTTACGAACTCTCCCGATTCTTTCATATTGTGCTGCTCATAGTGTTCAGTCAGCACAGCGATCACTCTACCGTAAGCAAAAATTTGGAAACATCGTTGAATTTTGACCGACTATTGTGCTCAAACAGGCCCTTTTTATTCCAAAAGATGCATCTCGTCAAGAGTTGAATGGTGTTTTTGGATTCAGAATTTGTCCATCCTGAAGCAAGGTATGGCCATGCAACCCAGAATACAGCGAACTTCGGCAGAGTGCGGTGATTTTCTTTACAATTAGAAGCGGTATTATATCATGCTTGCTGTTTTCCATCTTAAATAATTTCTACGAATATTATCCCACCGAATTTGAGTAACGAAGAAAAGCCAGAGTTATGCAGCTTTCTCCACTTCTATTTCCCTTGAAGACAGTGTCCCGGCAGATTCGCACCCTGGAGGATATTGCCATGGTGGGTTCCTGGTCATCCCCTGACTTCCAGACGCAGTCCGGCTGGTTGATGTTCCCCCTGGGCCGAGAAAATCTCCCTTGAACCGGCGCGCGCAACCGGGTGGAGGAACGAACACCTCAATTAGGTACCGCCTCCGCGGACTATTGGTCCCAACACGATGCATAACAGTAGGACGAAAGGACCAGCAGCCCGCGGAGGCGGATTGAGGTGTCCGTTCCTCCGCTCCGCGCAACCCCAATCGGCGCGCACTCGGACGACTTCGCTTACACCATTCGGCGCGGGACCCCACGACCGCATCGTCGCCTTCCGCGTGCCCCCCCCCCGCATTGTGCATGCTATCCAAAGCAAAAATTACAGGCAGCAGGGTCTTCGTGCCAGGGCCTCCCAACTTTCCATCGAAATTCTCGTCCGTGCTGTCTTTGGGATAAACGCCCCGGAAAAAGTCTTTTCACCCGTTTCAAAAGTCAGATTCGGGGTCTACGGGTCAAGAAGTGCCAAAACATGCAAAAAGATGGAATTGCAAAATCTACTGGGACACTGCCTTCAAAAGTACCTAAGAGCTCCATTATATAGAGGTTTTTATAACGTAAAAGGAAGTCAGAATTTGCAACTCCTAAAGAAAAAGCAACGCCTGCCTTATGCAACTGAAAGACTTACAAAATTACTTGAGCAGTGCTTGAACGGCAGCAAGTACCACATGAGAATAATAATCTTTGTTGTCAGACAATGTTCGTGATCACTTTATCTTATAACGCATCTTTAACTCACCGTCTTGTACCCAGTACGGATCCTCGGCTGATTCTCCTCCCAACATCAAAAACACTGGTCCATTTTGCTTGTACCACTGTTGATTGTACCAGTATCTCTGAAATTGGCACTTTGAGATAGCTCGACTCCAAAAGTAGTCTGCTAAATCCCCCTTATCAAGCTTACCTGTTGGTATGTAGCCGTGTTTGAGCTATTGAAATGATCTACGCTGTTTTCGAACCAGTCCTGCACCACAGCATCATTCGAGACATACTTTTCGTTCCTCTATACAGAAATTTACTCCTAAGAAAACAGTGCCTAATTATTTACAGTCGGCTTTGGAACGAGTCCGCCCATCGGTCGCCCACGAATCATGTGTCGTCGGAATTTCTTCTGAGGAGCACATTGGGCTAGCAGAGCAAGGCCTGGAACAAGGAGTACCTTCAAATTGAGTTACTTTTTGAAAACCTGCATTGCATTTTCTCGTAGCTGGCCCACACAACTGCAAGACTTTCATGTACAACGTGCAGCTGCATACAGCGTAGAATTCAGCATATGTAAAATTACAAACCTTGGCAAAAACTCAAGTAAAATTTAATTTTTGTCCTGTTGTTGATCAAAAAGAAAAACACAGCAACAGAGCTGTGCGAAAGATATAAAAATATTTGTTAATCAACAAACCCAGTAAAACAAGACCACAGAGCTTGAGGAGCGCCATCACAGTAGTTTTATTATCTTTGCACGCTAATGCTATCGCTTATCTCACGAAAACGATGAAATTTCTGCCTAATGAGCCTTAGTCGCCGTTGTTCCACAGATTAGAAAACCAATGAAAAGTAAAAAAAATATTGATTTATTTGACATTTATGATTGAATGAGTGAAGGTTTGTGTGAAAAAAGTAGTTTCTTGAGACCAATAAAGTGATCAATACAAGAAACACAATACAAACAAACAAACATACACAAACACAACATACACAACATACATACAAACAATACACATCAATCAGGGCCCGGCACGCGTTGGTTTGGAGCTTTTTAGGAAACGAAGTCCCCCATGACTTCGCGAAAATTCACGAAGTCCCTCTCGACGTGAAAATCAGTAGGGAAACCTTTATTCAACCAAAATAGTAACAAAAAAGCGAAAAAAGCGCATTTTGAGGTATGTAATATAACAAAAAAGCAAAAAGAAAACATTTCGAGTCGGTTAAAGGCTCTGACATTGGGTATAGTACCAATTTGATGCTGGGAATGCCGAGAATCTCCTAAGCCAACTAAATCTGTAGCCTCAATAATCCTGCGATGCATTTTTCGCCACATATTTCAAAGGACACCGCAAGTGATTGGAGCGCGACATCTATCAACGCGTAGAATTATACTAGTTTTGACTCAAAAAAAGGAGAGGCAACGGTTTGATCCGCTCTCTTCACTATATGATAGATTTTTGACCGTTCTAATCGTCCAAATCAAAAAGGTCGGAAACTTATTGAACTCACGGATATTTATGCTCCGAACCAACCAAGTTGGTTGGTTTGGTAGTTGGTCTAGAAACCAACAAATTCGAGAACGGATATTAGGACACATAAGTTTTGGGAACTTTTTACATAACATAGTTTGGAGTAATATTGTATACTCATAGCCCAAATTCGGAGCTATGTGATTGTTTGTGCGCTGTAAACAAGCCATTTGTTTGTTTGAGTCTTGCATTTGAAATTCGCGCGTCTGCGAAAGAACACGTTCAACTCGTGAAACCTGACATGTTCGTCGTGTTTTTTGGCGCTTCCTCCAGGACCTCATAAAAACGATGTCCCCGTTGCTTTTAACTCCAAAAACGAAGTCCAGTTTGACCCCAAACCATCGGTGCCGGGCCCTGACATCAATACATTTCTTTGGTCAACTTATAGACGAGAGTGTGGTTCATCATCTCTTCAATTGAACAAAGAAAAAGTTTCCACTGTTTCAGTTGATCATATTCTGCCACTGCCAGCCTAGTGGCAGGTCATGCCCTTGTGCATCAAAGCTTTTGAGTGTTCCTTCAGTTTTCGCTATTTACTATGATGGAACCAAACACGCGTTCGGTTTAACTCGTTATCGATAAGAATGTATCTTCATCAGTGTCTAGTCAGATAGTTTCCGCCCATAAGCTCGCTGGCACTCCAAAATGGTATAATAAATTATTTTGGGGGATGCACAATTTAAATTTTTCCTCAATCCAATACCGCGTACACTCATCACACGCTTGATATTGTTATATCCTATTGGGCCTTAGGTTCGTGGTTTTTGGCTATACGTTTATGATTTATCTTCCTAAACCTTGGACAATCTGTTATCATGTTCTGTTCGAAGGTTTGTTTGAGTTGACCTTTTTCTTTTGCTCTTTGACGGACCGTGAGCGTTTTAGTAAATAAAATAGAAATAATTTCCTCTCGAAGTCAGTGAAGTCTGAGGAAAACCGCACACCTGCGAAGCTGAGCTCCACATCCTGCTCTTACGAGTTTTCAATTCTCGGTCACCTGTTTATTTTTTGTGGTCCTAGCACTTATCCTCATAACCATGTTTCATAAAGTGCTCTGATCCAACCATAATAAAGCGCTTATGTCTGGGTATGTCTGTCTGTCACGAAATCAATAGAGCGAGATACAGCCAAGCGTTCACGCCGAATTTTCGCACAATCCAGCATGTAGGTTCACTATGCACGAGGCCGGGCCAATAAGGCATGCGATAATGATCCACGCTGCTTCGCCCCGCAAAACTAGTCGGTGCTTGAACTCTTTGCGAAGTCACGGGTTTGTTGGAAAAAGTAGATTCGCAAGCCATGGGCTCTAGCCGAAAAAAGTGATCAGGATTTATTTTCTACGTAAACAGCGCAAAAGGGGTGACTGCGTAGATAGTCAATTTGCCAAGCTTTGAAAGAGTACTTGAGAAAAGTTTTGCTAAGATATGTAGCTTATGATGATCATCTTGCTTAGGCCATTAAAGGATAAAGGATAAAGGATCCTGCGTCTTCAATACCCTCTGAGGGTATGCGCCGAACGCACACACTAACTTCATAGTCGAAGAGGCAATTGTATGCGTGCGGGCCTATTAAAGTGTCTTGCGGGGGCCATCCGTTTCCAAATCAGTGCTTTTATCCTCCCAGATTATTCTGGTATAGTGTGGACCCCGGCCAGGTTCCCATATGTACCTCCGCAGCGCATACGCAACGCGCGCACTGTTGACGCTTCTTATTCCATATGAACGAGAAATCATCTCTAACTTAAGATAGGAGTGAGACAAGAAGTGGAACCCTCTATTCTCACCTCCAGAAAAGCTTAAGCAGAAGAAAAAACTTTTCCAACCTCCACTAACACTTGGTTCTTTGTCATTCTCATGTTTAGTTTTATACTAGTATAAAACTACCACTGATGGGTGAAAATCGAGAAATAGCGGAAAGAGGATTACTTTTGGAACGTTACTCTTCTGCAATCATTGAAAAACTAGAAGCATAAGGTGGAGAGCGTAATTTAACAAGCTGAAGCTTCACTGCCGCATTGAAAAGCAACTAAAAGATTTAGACAAAACAAACTCAGTCGGATAGATACGTTTCTATACAAAACAAATTCAATCGAATAGATACGTTTGGTCCGTGATAGAAACCCTGAAGAAATCTCTTCAAACTATACTTAATCCTCGAGGAAAGAAACGAGAGCTTTTGACAGAAGCTCTCAAGACTTTTGAGGCTCGTAAAAACTTGTCATCATCAGCTGGTGTGGTTCGTTTGACCCTGAAAGAAAGAGATTATAGAAAAAAACAACTCAATAAAGAGAGGAACGCATAGAAACCAATAGGTCCTGGGACGAAAAGAGCACTGAAGGCATGCGCTGCGTTCGCGGCGCGGAGGTACATGTGGGAAGCTGGCCGGGGTCCACACTATACCAATTTGCCGGCCCCGGAGGGTAGAGGGCTTGGTTGGCCCAGGGGCGGAGATCGAACCTGTGTCCGATCTGGTCATGGCGGCGCCTCATACCACTACGCCACTCGTCCCCCCTTATGCCATTAAGCCAAAATAAATCCAGTAGGTAATTCAAAATTTGCCTCTTCTAGGATAAAGTCATCCTCCCAAATTAAATTAACATGAAATGCTTCTGAAATGATTAGTTGTATGCAACTCAAACTTGAAGCATGGCGCATAATTATCTAACTTGGGATCGCGAAACAGACATATAGGCTCGTAGTAGAGCTGCCTCATCCGTTCTTAACTGAATAAAAAAAACCTCAGTAAAGCTGAGGTTTTGACGAGTCAGCTTGTCCTCAGTCGAGCCATCGATTGATGATTGCAACCATCCACGATGATGTGATTATGAACGCCACGTCCATGCAAATGTGGCAACTCGTCCGCAAAACATTCATACCAAGTGGTTGGTATTAGAGGCGGAGATGTGGCCCACTTGTTAGATCTTTGAGTATCGTCAGCCTGCACTGTAGCTTCTCACTCAATATTCCTTCGACATGTAACTTACTCAGGAGTAACTTACGGAAAGTTCATCATTAAAACACTATTCAAGTCAATTCATCGTCTAACTGGATCTGAAGTGATTTAAGTAAGGTAGACGGCCTCGTCAGGTAGAAAGACGATTAACTGAACCTTCATTTTGCATTCTTACAGCATGGAAAGGGGCGGTCATCATTTCACCTTGAGGAATCTTGGTTGAGGGCCTCAGTTCAGTTCACCTGGGGCAGTATGTATCGATCGCCCTTTCGGGTAAGGGTTCTCATTCAGATAATCCGCCTCAAAGCTCGGTGCTCTGGGAATCTGGTTCTTTCTCGCTTATTCATCTTTTGGAGGCTCTACTACCAGTACTCTGCGTTGATACCACTGCTT